AAATGTTCATGACCAATGTTGTTTTGACTTTATTTTGAACAAGTCAGTCCAGTTAGTGTTCCCGCCTTCCTGGTGTAATTGAGAACTTGCCTTGTTCAGGTGAGATCTGAAAACTGAGCCAGTCAGGTTGTCCATACAATTTGAAAGGAATATCCACTATAAAAATAAACACACAGTGAGGTTTTGCTTACTGGCCTAGCTGTCGCATTAACAACCCTTACCAAAAATATGCCAGCACTTGAGTCAATTAACCCAATACTCATAGGGATGGGACAAACAAGTTAATGGGTGGCCTTTTAAAGATACATACAACAAACTATCAGAGAGCACACAATATACAAACTTGGGCAAAACATGCATTAATTTCTCAAATCAGCTGAGCAGCCTGAGCTTTGTCCTGCACCAGTTCACCACAAGCTTATACATGACAAAACCCGGCCTTGGCTATTGAATCTATATATAAAACCTTACTTCCCTCTTTAATATACTAGCACATCATAGTTTCATGTCAAATATTTGTCAAATTCATATACATGCACAACCATTAATTCATTGGGATTGAGGGATGAAATTATTATATTTTAAAGTTATAAAAAGGTTCATCTACAACCACATAAATACTCGTGGCTTGTTTTCTAAAAAATAGAGTACATTCTACCATTTATTCCTAACATTTTTTCATGAAATACTTAAAATAGTAATGTGAATTTTGAAATATTTATAAATACCTGTTTATAGTCTGATATAAAATTATACGGATGTTTGCTCTGGCTTGAAGTATCGTTTTTGTCCACATTTCGGCTTTCGCGAGGTTTTAATAGTTGTTTGTTGTCTTTCACACTCCACGGACGACAATGAACGTGTACGACTTTCACATCCTTGAACAAATGGTCAAACGTCGAAAAAATATCTCGAAAATAACAAAACAAAAAGGATTCACTGCAAAAAGCCGAAATATTTTTATAAAAACCAGGGGGGGGGGGTGAAAACTGTGGCGGGCTCATATTTGAGCCTTGTTCAGTGGCAATTACCATGAATTTAGGGACCAGTAGTCATGGAAATGGCGTCATTTTCACTCAAAATCCGCCATGTTTTTGCGGACACTTCGTTGACTGAACCACAGAATAGGAAGTTATACCAGAAGCGTAACTCGAGCAAATATTTGTCCGCGTTTTTACAAGCGATTCGTCATCAATCACGCCATCCTGGCTAGTACAACCGGCACTTTGTACCTACCAAATCCTGATAAAAACTTCCGGCTGTACTAGCCAGGATGGCGTGGCCTGACGTGAGCGAGTTAAAATTTTCGTGGACGTCAAACAATAAGCGAAACGACTAGAGTTACGCTTCTGGTATAACTTCCTATTCTGTGACTGAACGAAGTATAGGAGCAGGTCCTCCAGTAATATAGTATAGCTCAGTGGTTAGCACTCCCTACCGTTCTCTAAAATTCTAGGTATTTTGAGTAACGTTCGCTTTGAACCGAATTTATATTAGATACACTTAAGACAAGGCAACATGATTATTTGCAGGAAAGTTCAGAAGCTGTGTGCTGTCCATTTATGAATAAATTAAAACAGTGTTCGTGTTGCCATGGCAACCATGACGTTAACTTTTGCACTTTTGTTTTTGTTCGTGGTGTTTCCACAAACAAAAACAATTATATTTTATCGCCATGCAAACATTCAAAGAACTTATTTAATTTTTGCACTTTTATTGTCTAATTTCACAATAAATTGACAATATCTATATTTTCCTTCTGTGAATTTTTCTGAAATTTTTTTTGAAGATTTATGGTCCATAAAGGAAAAACATATCAAAATTTGAAGGGACTTTACAAATAAGTTTTCGAGATATTCGTGAATGACGGTTACAGAAAAAGTTATTTGTAGAATTTCTTAAAATTTGGATATGTTGTACCACACGTCTTGTATAACAAAAATACAAAGTTTAAAAAAATTTCACCGAAGAAGACACGAGAAAATCATCGCTAAAATCGGCGTGGCCAGCATGAATAAAAATCGACTCGACATGAGCACGATCTGCGCGTGCGTGTAAATTGTAGCGTGTGATTTATTGTGATTTCAACTTTTTGGCTTACAATACATACGAAAACAGATATTTCTGACTTGTTTGACATGAAAATAAAATTGATATCTTGAAAATACTAATAAAAAAACACTAATATAAACTCAAATTATAACAGAAAACGATTAAATTAATATGAATAGCGTTTACATAATTGCGCAAGCAAACTAATTCGTCATACATGACAGTTGCAATTTTAAACTTAATTAACATAATTAGGATAATTAAACATGTAAATTGATAACAAACAATTAAACAAACAATAAAACAACACTAGACGAACAATTATGCTAATATAGAATGTTAAGTAAATAGTTTTGAGCGTATCGAGTCCGATTGTTTGTTTAAACTAGGTTTAAGATCTTTAATAAATAACATTTCATAGAGTAAACACTCGAACTTTCCCCGACATTTTCTTGGGCACAACCCTAATTAATAAGAACGGTCGAGTAGAAACGAAAGTCTACATCAAGCCAACAAACACTGGCCTTATGTTACATTATGACAGCCATGTAGACGTGAAGTATAAGAAATCGCTCGTCCTGACCATGCTCAATCGTGCATTCCGCCTATCATCATCGTGGAAGCTCTTCACCGAAGAATGTGAACGCCTGAAGAAAACCTTCGTACGTCTCAGATATCCTATTTCCCTGCTTGACAACATCATAACGAAGTACACTGAACAGAAACGCGAAAGCGACGATCATCCAGCCGAGGAAAGAAACATCAAAGAAAACGTGGTACGTGTAATGCTACTATTTAAAGACCAGAAATCAGCAGACTCGGTGAGGCGGCAGCTGCGTACGTAACCTCAGCAAGACCATCGGTAGACAAATACAACCGGTCTACACAAGCAGAAAGATTGCCGCAGACTTCCCAGCAGCAGAACCGAAACCACCCCTTGTGAATCAGCAATGTGTTGTTTATTTATTCAAATGTGATCTGTGCATGCGACGCAGATTATGTCGGTTACACTTGCCGACACTTACATCAACGCATTGATGAACACAAGTCATCGGTTGTCGGAGAACATATGGTTCAGCAGCATGGCGAGGACGCAAAGAACATCGGGAAAAACTTTAAGGTATTGAGAAAATGTCGGGGAAAGTTCGAGTGTTTACTCCATGAAATGTTATTTATTAAAGATCTTAAACCTAGTTTAAACAAACAATCGGACTCGATACGCTCAAAACTATTTACTTAACATTCTATATTAGCATAATTGTTCGCCTAGTGTTGTTTTATTGTTTGTTTAATTGTTTGTTATCAATTTACATGTTTAATTATCCTATTGGCCTGCAAGCTTTCAAATCTGGACTAAAGACGTACTACAAATACGCGCTATCTAATATTTATAAGTATGACGATCCGCGAACTTGGAAATCTGTGTGCGTTAAAACGTTTTGCGAAGCGTTTGTGGTTGCATTTTACCTTAAATTGAAGCTTATATATTACCATAGTTAATAGAATAGATGGTTTGGAAACTCATTAGAATAACAATTTAACTATTATCTATGTTAGTCAACGTTTATTCATAAATCTGGTCGTTTACCGTCACGTGCGTATTGTATTTTTGCCAAACTAACCAATAGCAATGTCTTAAGAAAGTTACCAATCCGTGACTCGAACAATAGGGTAATTGCAAATTGCTATTGGTGGATTTGGCAAAAATACAATACACACGTGACGGTGAAGGACCAGATTTATGAATAAACGTTGACTAACATAGATTATGAGTTGTATTGTTATTCTAACGATTTTTCTATTTTCTATTTTATTAACTATGATATTACGTATCTAACATATATATGTTGGGAAATTGATAATTTTGTAATCAGTAAAAGTGATCTTTTTAGGCGATTTTTCATTTGTAAGAATATACTTTAAAAAATATCGTGTTACCATAACAACTACTTTAGATACTTCATGTTCGGAAAATACAATGGTTTTGTCAGCAAAGCGAGGGTTTCTGCATGCATGTATTTTCTAGTAATTTTTCAATTCTTTTCAATGATCTATTGTATTCGTAGCCGTTGCCGTCGCGTTGCGTCCTAAAATCGTAAGGTCTCTATTTGGGGGTCCTGTCCTAACACTTTGACCAAGTTTTGCCGCACGTTATTATATTTTCGTTTCCTTTCGTTTTAATCTACGGTTATTCACCCTTATTTGGTTAATTTTTCCGTAATTTTTTACTTCATTTCCAAAACGAAATTATTTTCCAATTTAAAAAGTAACCAACTATCATTGACTAAATATTTTCCATTTTGACCAATTATTTGAACTTAAACATTATTCTTAGGTTCGATTCTCGCTATGGACTCATTTTGATGAGGTTCTCGCTATGGACTCGCTATGGACTCAAGTTGACAGGATGGGTTAGGTAAAGTTAGGTAAACACAGTTAAGAAAGTAATGTCACAATTGTTGTATAGATAAAATAGTCTAGGCTTTAGTATCCAACAGTCTAGGCTAAAGATTCCAATTAGGTAAGCGTAATACTTGATAAACCTCGTACCCAGAGTTTGATAGTTTATGTAAAACTGAACGCATTTGATCATTTCGTGCCACGTGATCCTGCACGTTCTTCTGATACACGTAAACGCACGATGACATGCCAAATTTTGGCATATATACTGTAAATAGAAAAATCAATTTTAATAATTTGAAACGAAACAAAAATTGATCGCTTGGAGCAATGAATCAATTTATTATCTTAAGTCTACTAACACTTTTACTAACGGGTAATAATTTTGCAAAGCTGACAACTACTACTAGCATATATAAGCTTACAGAAAATTAGTTTAAAATTAACAAGTATATATTAATTTAATCTTCCACCAACTTCTTATGAGGAATGTTACTGTTAAAAACATGTTCAGAGCATTGTGCGAATTTTTCATTATCTTCCACTGTCTACAATTTGCAGCATTTAAATGTATCAATACAATGCAATATGTCACATTCAGATCTATAAAGACCAGTGATATAAAAACCAGCGGTTGTGCATGACACCATTCCTTCTTTATCCCAGTTAAATTTTAACGAAACATCCTCATCGTAACACGATGTGTATGAATTAGGTGCTTCATTAGGTTTGCAACACCACGCTGCCTCAATATTGTGTAGATTATTACCACCTGTACGATAAAGACCAGATAGATAATACCCTGGGGTACACAAGTTCCAATGATTTTGTCTGTAAAATAATATAATGTTAAATTACACAAAATAAAATAACCCCGCTTAAAATCGGTCATAATTCATGTTCAGTAATTACAAGTTAGAGTAAAATTAGCTGGAGTTATAGCCGGCGTCCAGCGCAACAACATTTCTTTATTTATTGAAAGCCAGTTTTCCACTTCAGTCGTAACTTACCGAAACGTACTGATGAGCATGCGTAGATTGAAAAGAGGTTGGTAAATACACGTACTTCCGGGTGTATTCGCGTATCAAAATGAAAAGTTCGTCGCAAGTCAACTTTTTGACGTACTATACGGAAGTATTATAACCAATCAACATTCACTAAATTTTGAAATTTAAAAATGTTTTTGATACGCTTCGGTACGGTACGCTTGAAGTAGAAAACTGGCTTAAATCTTTAATAAGTACTCTATGACTATGCTTATCATCAGGCGGTATCAAAGCCCGTGGGTTCCACCGGAATATTTTCCTGGATGACCAGAATCCGCGGGACAGCAGCATTTCATATGGCGAACTGGCGCAAGACACAGTGACATTGGCATTGCAATGCAATGACTGCCAAAAAAACCGTCGGTAAATGACAGCCAACGGGACTGTGCTTTTTCGCGGGTTCCTGCAAAGAGGCATCAAATTTAACATTGAACAAATTGCCGAAAACGTTTCGCATTTTTTTCGAACGAATTTCATTTGCAAAAATGTTGCAAGAATGTAGTAAAACTATCGTGGATTCAATTTGATATTTCGATCTTATTTCGAGTTTATATTTCGATAGTTTTAGGGTATATATATATATTAATACGAGAATAGGCTGTTTTCTTGCAGTAATAAATTTACGTGAACACAAGCAAAATATTATATGTGTTATCGCCAAACAAACCTACAAATTGTCAGTGGTGTAATTTGGGTATTACGGGGGGGGGGGGGGGGAGGCTTGTTTGTCCGACAAGAAGGGCGTGGCAGAAGTCGCGCCCGACGGACATTTCAGTCGCTAATTAATATTTCTTTCCCAAAAATGTTGGCAAGTGGGGGCAGGGGAAAAAAATTTTCGGACATGTCATTTTTCACTAACTTACCAAAATTTGTAAGCACAATACAATTTTTCAGTAATATTTTCGTAAATTTATTAAAATTTTTCCGACAATTAGTTTTCAAAAAAATATGTAAAATGTTTTCTGAATTACATATTTTTTGCCCGACAAGAGTGTCGTTAAAATTGCTAAAATTGTCCGACAAAACTGCAATATTACAATATTACACCAATATTAATTAATTTTGATGCAATCCAAGGACTGAATTAAATTTGATCCAATTCTAGGACTGGATCAATGTACTTCATCAGGTATCCAGTATTATCATGTGTGCAAAATAAAGCAATATGGTTGGCTAATCCACTCATGAATTATTAATATATTTGAGATATGTTTTTGTCACAGTTTATGTTAATTTGTGCACGATCACGTGATTGAGCTCATTGTATTTTCGTATAATGAAGTAACCATCCAATATGGATAGCTGAGATGAAACGTGCAGCCACGATGAATACTATTTAATGAAGTTGAGACAAAAGATTTTTGTTCACGGTGAGGTATATCAACATCCAACAAAGGACTTCTATTTTGTGGCTTTGAACTTTGCCGGGATTCCAGACCATCAATATCTTAATAGACTATGGTTAGAGATAGGACTATTGTGTGAGTATTTTGTAATTACGTTGCCATCTGCTGGCGTCAGAAATTATTCAGTATCCATCGTTCGAGCTGTCCATGAAATTTTAACAAAAATATTACATACTCTCCCAAGAGAATTAAAATTATAAACCAGACTTAGAAAAAGAGGATCTGTGTACGTGCATGAGGTAAAATAGGAATGGAATACTAGTTTGGACAAGTAAATGTAAAAGTATTATACCTATTAAAGCTATCCCACCAATTTATTCCTTTACATTCACTGTTGATGTTTTCAAAGTCTTCACAACAACTGACTCCCTCCAGATTATATATCTTATCTTGGTTTTCATCTGAAGTTTTGCTTCTATACAGACCATTTATGTAAGGAAATGTAGAAGGACATTTTGACCAACCAGTGCGGACAAAACCGTACCGCCAATATCCATTGTTACATGAGCCAGGTGCTACAATTATCACAAAATAATTGTTTTGTTAGAAGTATTATACACATGAACAGCAGTGTTGTAAATTATATTAAAATACTCACTAATAATTCATAAACCGTGTGGCAAATCATGTCAGCCAGAATATGTCACGTGGAGTGACTTTATATCTGATAAACACATGCATGCATGTGGCATTATATAATGGTTCATCCTAATTACTATTCTTATATAATATTATATAGATATCGGCGATGGTCGATATTCGAGAAATTAATGTTATTTTCTTCTTCCTCTCCACGTTGTAAAGACCTAGGATTGTGGGCATACAGGTCCTCAAGTTGAGTTTTTAGCATTTCTTTGTCGATCAAGGCATACTCTAGGCTAACTATCGGAAATCCTATTTCAAACGTGGATCTTAACTGGATTCGCTTAATACATCTACTGTGGTGGGAAGTCTTTCCGTCACATTCCAACGATCTAGAGATTTTCCCTTGTCTATGATAGCCTTTTCGTCAACCCCAGGGACATTCTTGGCTTCATCGAGGATGCGCTTGAACTCTGTTTCGCAACGCATTTCATTCAACCTTTGTAGAACAAGCCGCAAAGAATACAAAGCATAATCAGAGGACATATCGACTGCTTGCAGCTTTTTCGAAAACTTTCCCAACAAAACAACAACCTTTCGCGTCACATTCAATTGAAGAGGGCGTACAGCGAAGACATCTGCTTCTTCAGAATTCCTCGGATCCTTGTTTTGGTGTCCGCAGAAATATATGGATTTTCTTTTAGCTTTTCGAGGATTGTGCGCAGCTCGATGGTGTTATCAAAGATAACATCAGCTGCCTTGACTCTTTTTGTCCATCTTGTGGCGGAGAGGCTTTGCAGTCGAAGGACCTTATATTCATCACTATCATTTTCGTTTTTGAAATCTTCCTGAATTTCTTCAAATTGCAGAATGCGTTTGGGGTAAGTACCCACAATCGCATAGAGAGCTTGACAAAGATCCAGCCCGTCAAAGCCCACATCGCTCCTATTATGGTGCCATCCAGCATTGATCTGACAAGAATATCTTTCGTATATTTATAGGAGGGGAGTTAGTTATAGACCTTCAGTGCATTCAACGAAAAACGATAGTTGCTCTTTCTTAAAATACGTCTGAGGATTCGTTTGCACGGATAGAGTAGAAATCTTTTTCCCGTACATTGTCCAATGAATCCCTTCGAGCCTTCAAAACTAGCATTTGCCTTTGTTCTTTCGGAATATCATGCGCTGTAATCTTGTAACATATAGCGTTTCCCTTCTAATAGTAACTCCAAACCCTTGTCACTGATCGCTTTGTCTAGATCAAATTGATGTATAAACCTAACAATGAATTCGATTCGAAGTAACGGTCATAAGATCTACTCCATCAAATTAAACAAGATTGCTTTAAGTCCATACGACGATACACGTTTCATTTTAGAAGACGGTGTTAGCACATTAGCTCATGGTGTTGAAGGGCGGATATAGTTGGGTGAAGGGGTCCCTGAGCCTGAGGATAGGGGAAGTACTTAGAGAATCGGGCCATTGGGCCGTAAAAAAAGCCCCCCCGGGCCATTTTTAATAACTGTTATAAAAGCCGTCAAGGCTTATTCCCTCCCCTCAACATTATGGTTAAGCCCGAGTTGTTCTGTTTTCAACTATTATTCGATTAATTATGAAAGACCACGTTAATGAATAAAATACTGAACATTATTATGGGAATAATGGATAAGCGCGAGAACTAAAGGATGTATCGCGTTTCGGGAAACCAGTACACATTAGTAAAGTAGCAAACGGTTAAAATTTTGTTAAAACGGAGTGCAATTATGGTCTATACGCTCGTTTAAAAAGAATATAAGCGTGTGTAATTGATATGAAATGATATCCTGATGATGTAATGGGTGGAGCTCTAGTGCTCCACCCGGTCCAGAACCCCCCTTCCCTATACTACTCACAAAATTTAGGAAACATATGGAATTTTGAAACAGTAATTCAATGTAAAATTACTTGTTGGTTGAGTTGTGGAATCATCTGTCCTTTTCGGTGTAGATTGTCCTATAATTATAAAGAAAATAATATAAAAGTACAAAATTTAATATTCTTGAAAAAATTTAGGAAGCATATGGAATTTTGAAATAGTGATTCAATGTGAACTTACTTGTTGGTGGAGTTGTGGAATTACCTGTCTTTTTCGGTGTAGATTTTGCTATAATTAGAAAAAAAAAGAAAAACACTCCAACGCGTAATACTTAATATTGTTAAAATACCTGAAGGAAGAATATGAAATAATATATTGGTAGCCTGAGTCGTGGAATATTAGTGGGGCACGCAGATTTTGTTATAATCATAAAAAGTACATAATATTCTGAAAAGAAAAGTGTGAACTTACGTGTAGCTGGAGTTGTGGAAACGTCTGTTTGTTTCGGTGTAGATTTTGCTATAATTATAAAGTAAATTATTTAAAAGCACAAAATTTAATATCCTTGAAAAAATGAAAGGAAAATATGGAATTTTGAAATAGTGATTCAGTGTGAACTTACTTGTAGGTTGAATTGTGGAATCATCTGTCTTTTCCGTTGTAGATTTTGCTATAATTATAAGGTGTTATTTAAAAGCACAAATTTAATATTCTTGAAAAAATGAAAGGAAGAATATGGAATTTTGAAATAGTAATTCATTGTGAACTTACTTGTTGGTTGAGTTGTGGAATCTTCTGTTTTTTCCAGTGTATATTTTGCTATAATTATAAAGAAAATTATTTCAAAGTACAAAATTTAATAATTTTGAAAAAATGAAAAGAAACATATGGAATTTTGAAAGAGTGATTCATTGTGAACTTACTTGTTGGTTGAGTTGTGGAGTCATCTGCCTTTTCCAGTGTAGATTTTGCTATAATTATAAAGCCAAAAATAATTTAAAAGTACAAAATTTAATATTTTTGAAAAAATTAAAGGAAGCATACGGAATTTTGAAACAGTGTGATTCATTGTGAACTTACTTGTTGGTTGAGTTGTAAAATCATCTGTCTTTTCCATTGTAGAGTTTGCTATAATTATAAAGAAAATGATTTAAAAGTACAAAATTTAATATTTTTGAAAAAATGAAAGGAAGCATATGGAATTTTGAAACAGTTATTCATTGCATGTGAATGTACTTGTTGGTTGAGTTGCAAAATCATCTGTCTTTTATATTGAAAATTTACCGCTCAATGTGAACATGCTTGTCGGCTGAGTTGTTGAACCGTCTGGTTCAGTTGAAAATGTCGTATTGATTAAAAATTAATATACATTATATAAATCAACATGCATAAATCCTCATGCATCCTTAAAATCTGGCGCATGCGCTCTTGAAAGTTCAAATGAAAAAACATTTAAACAAAGTCACAATTAGGTTTTCGATTGAATCGATTCGAATGTTGTTTATTCGTCGTTGAACGGCTTGTTAGTATCAGCATATTGTAGGCTTCTTAAATCAGTTTTTAACTAAGACCTACTTGTCGACATTTTGTCTAGCTGAGGAGGGTTGCTTGATGAAACAGCATCTTCAGGTTTCTAGAATAAAATGTAATTAAACATGCAATTTAAACAATATTTTACTTGGCCAGTCAAATGCTTAATGTCTCCAGGTGAAACACCGCGTAGCTTCCTTCACAACGCCGCATGCCTCGTGGGAAGGTAAAAATTTCTAGAGGACTGCATGGCTGTTGGAAATAGATTTTGTAAACAAAATGGCGTCATATACTCTTCCTTATGCCATGACTATCCCGCGTATTATACTAGTTGGAAAGTAAAAACAAATGCATAGTTGGACAATCCAAAGAAAAAATAAACATTAATTCAAATATTTTGAAGATTGCTTGAAAATTGCTTCAATTTTTTATACACTCTGTATATAAAAACATATTCTCACAGTACTCACTCTTTCGGGTTGAAGTAGTATGTAGTAATCAAAATTTTCATCGTCCTGCAAATTCTCTGCCGGTTCTTCTGAATCAACAGTTTTGAGTAACTCACAGTTTTCTTGTTCTCCAAAAGTTTTTCTGAAGTTAGTAGATCTGCATGATTCATCTTGAAGCAGACATTGTAAGATGCAATCCACTCCAGACTCTGCATGGACACATTTGATCGTCTTTGTCGTGTCCAAACGATGACCTTTTTAAAAATATGGTAAAATAAGTAATACAGAAATTAGAAAAAAGGTGACTTGACATAATTATTGCCGCGACATATCTTTGATCTCAAGGGATGGATTGCAAAACACTAATATATGATTTGTGTAAGCATTTGACTTCTGGAACCGCATGGGGCTCTATTAATCTGCAATATATATGCATATAGCTCATTTACAAATTTTGCCATAAAGGTGATCGCTACAGAGCTTATTTCTACATTGAAAAGTGAGGAGGATGCTCCAGTGGTACAGAAATCACCACTGATTGTCTGGTAGTCCTGTTGTAACAATGGACTAGATACGACATTAAGGGCATGGCTCTTACTAGGTATGGCTCTTTCTTCCTTTTGAATTCAATCAGCCGATTTTGAAGGCATAATATTTATAATGAGATATCAATAATTATGAAATTATTAAATCTGCCAAATTGTTTGCGAATGAAACCGTAAGGTTTTAAAAGTCGTTTTCCTTTGTAGTTAAAAATACAACTTCCACACCTTTTTGGTGACTGATTAAAACATTTTAAACACAATAGAATGAGACATTTATTTTCGACATTCGACCTTCGACTTTCGCCCTTGATTTTAGCCCTCAACCACGATTTTCGAAAAAAAAAAAAAAACTTGACTTGACCTTTGAGTCTGGAAACTCGACAATTACCCAAACTCCACCAAACCAGATCGCGATAACGCTGATCTATATATTGCCGATAACAGTCTCGCTGGAATTGGTTTTGAAAAGGTCTATCAGTTTCATTTCTAACGGATCTGCCCAGTTTATTATAAGATCAGTTTTGACCTTGAAAGGGATTACGAGCGGCTACACTTGTAAAACTCGGCACACCTTAATATTCACCGGACAAGATTCCATCCAGTGATATAATGCGCAATAAAAATATCAGCGGGTAGAGAGTGCGGGCTCACCTGAACACGCCAACGTTGACTTGATTCACGGTGAAATTCCACGAAAGAATTGCGTGAAATATAGGTTCTGAAGTTGGATCATAATAAAAGAACACTTGAGAAGGCAATGCCATGCAAGCCCCATTATTTATGTGTATTTATTAGTTCATAATAAAATTATAAAATTTGTAAATTAAATTTTCTCTGTGGGCCAGTTTCTTCCCCCCCCCCCCGCTGCGCACGACCCAAACTGACGAACGTGCCTTTTGACTATAGTGCGTCTAAACACAGGTTATTGCTGCATGTATTAATATTTAATTCGCCGTTTTGGCTAAGTCCCAAAATGTTTAGAAATTTTATTTCACAAATGTTTACTCAAGTTAAAACGCAGCAAGCTCGGTTAATATTGCATGAAAATATATATAGACGCCGAATATTAAAGTTTATGTTAGACGTTACAGAATGCAGTGCATCTTATTAAAGTGTAATAGCTCTTTCAGTTTATAAAACCGGAGAACTTTTTTGCATCACAAGGTAC